ATATTTGCCAACAAGATTGAATGCACACACAGTTTTCTTTTTTAACACAAATACATTTTCATATACACAAAACAACTTACAATAACAGTTATTACAAATAGTTATTACAAACAGTGAGTTATAAACAAACATTTCACAAACTTACAAACAATATAAAGTCTTCTTTCTAGTTTGGAACTTCTTCAATATTTTATCGAAGATTCGAGAATCTTCTACAACTTTGGAGAATAGGCGGGAGTTTCGCAATACATATCTAACACTATAAGCTATGCATGTTTTTAAATATAAACTTAATCTAAACAAACGTTGATATTAAAATAAATATATAATAATAAATTTGTTACATAATCTATAAATTTTTGAAATACAAAATTGTTCAACTTTGCAGTGCTTTCAGTTTCTCACTCACTTGGTCTAGGTTTTAATTGTACAGCAAACACTTGGAACTCCCAAACGGTTAAGCCTAAATTAATATGGAAAACAAAAAAATAACTACTTTTAGATTTCTAAAATATGGCACCTATTACAAAGTGACTACAAAGTAGTCTTTATAGCAGTTACAGACTTCACATTTTTGACCCTGTTTGCTTGCTAATGAAAAGTGAACAAAAAATAAATTGTATTATGAAAGTATAATAAAACATTCTTAATGGTACAATTAATTAATCTTTACTGATGGATCTTGAACTTTTTATCCCCATTGTTTGCAGGTTTATTTCAATCAAAATAATTAGAAATTAAGATTGGGCACTTGCATAAAATTTTGAAAATTATTTATGAAATGGTGAATATTATAACAAATAGCATTGGTGTGGGCATTTAGAAAGAGAAAGTACTAATAATTCAACAACAAGAACTTATGTAATGGTTTGAACAAAATTGTAAAATATGCTATTAAAGGTTGGGGAATATTTTGAAATAACGTAAAGAGAAATAATTTGAGGGGTTTTGGAGATTTTCTTTTAATGCAACTAATATTAATTGAAGAGTTAGGAAAAATGCTGATATGGTATAATCTCACAAACAGTATTGGTTCAAGGGTTTCAAAAGAGAACATATTGATGTAATAAAGCTGAAAATTGGCATAAGGATTTGGAGAAAATTGTATATGGTACAGTTAAGTCAAATTAAGCATACAACTCAACAAGAATTAATGTAAGGATTTGGAAAACATACTGTTCTGGTATAGTTCAAGTAGAATTGGTGTAAGGATTTGGAAAATATACTGTTTTTCTATAACTCAGAATTGATATAAGGATTTGGAAAATATACTGTTTTACTATAACTCAGAATTGATATAAAGATTTGGAAAACAATTTTGTGGTATAACTCAAAACAATTGGTGTAAGAATTTGGAATTTGTAGTATAATTAAAATTGAATTGGTGTATATTGTGGTATAAAAAATATAATTGATGTAAGGAGATTTTGAAAACTGAATATTGTGGTATAACTCAAAATAATTGGTGTAAGAATTTGGAAAACATTCTATTGTTGTATAACTCGAATAGAATTGATGTATGTTGTGGTTAAAAAATGTAATTGATGTAAGGAGATTTGGAAAACAAACTTGTGGTATAACTCAAATAGAATTAGTTTAAGGGTTTAGAAAATGTACTGTTTTCATATAACTCAAATAGAAATGGTGTAAGGATTTGGACAGTGTATTATTTTTGTATAACTCAAAGAGAAATAGTGTAAGATTTTGTGGTATTACTCAAATACAAATGGTGAAAACATACTGTTGTGGTATAACTCAAATAGAATTGATATAAGGATCTGGAGAATGTACTGTTTTGGTATAACTTGGATAGAATTGATGTAAGGATTTAGAAGAGAAATATTATATAATTGAGCAGTAATTGGTGTAAGGTTTTGTAGAAGATTGTGTATGATGTAAATATAATATACTACTGTAAGAAATTAGAGGGATAAAATTTTGACTTAACTTGACTAGAATTATTATAAGAATTTGGTCATTATGATGGTATAACTGATTAAAAAGAATGTAATGAGTAGGAAAAAAATGTCTGATATAATATAACCAAAATAGAATTCATTTAAGGGTGAGTGCAAAATGCTGATATAATCATACAAGAGTTGGTATAAAGGTTGTGAGAAAACGTTGGTACAGCATATCAGAATAGAATTGGTGTAAGGGTTTGTAAAAAATGTTATTACACAACTTGAACTGGTGTAAAGCTTCAGCAAAAATTCCAATATGTTACATTACACATAAAAATTGATATAAAGGTTTGGAGTGGAAGAAAGCTGGTGTAATGCAGCAAGAACTAACATAAATGTTGGATAAAAAATATGGATATAACTATACTGGAATTGATATAAATGTTTGTAGAAATTATTGATCAAGTACAATTCAAATAAAATTGATGTCAGAAAGGGATAGAAGATTGCTGATTCAACACACACACACACACACACACAAAACCTACTGGAAGCTTTTGATAAAATGCTGTTTAATTTCTTTATTAATTTCAGTTTTAATGGCCTAACATCAACAGCATAGGATAAAAGGTGTTAATCAAACTCTTGTTTAGCTCTATTATCATCATACTTCTGTTGTATCTTATTAACAGATATATTCTTTCCACTACATTGCTGTCCTATAGACTAAATCTGCTGTTTTTTTTTTTATGAATGAAGATGAGTCTTACACATTAGGTTACTGTCCCATAGTCCCAAGCTACTGGTTTATAATACTTGGAGGTAATTTTAAGCCCTTATGTTTCACATCTCAAACCCTTGTTCTGTCAAGTAAGTTGAAACAATTATACAAGTAGACCAATAGTCTCAAACCACTTATATCTTTTAACCAGATGATTTGTAGCCATTATGTTACTCTTTCACAGTTTTAAACCATTTTTATAAAATTTTAGGAGATCTGGTTTGTTATTTCATGGTTTTGAACCACTTTTGTAAGATTTGGTATATTTACTATTTTGAATTTAATTTAATGATTAGTGGAGTAAAAACCATTGAAATTCCAAGAAAATTGTTCTTTTATCTGTTGCTTCTAATCATGTTTTTTCATGCCAAATTATTTTACATTTTGCATAATAGCTTTGACTAGAGTTGGGTAATAAAATTAGTTGATATAATTGATTTCATATGAGCATTGATTACAGTGATTAGTTCCATCTAAAATAATCAATTAATTGAAGTTACGATTAAGTCAGTTGTCACAAAAATAAAAATCTAGTGTTTTCAGTCAGTACTGTTTTGGACTATTCACCTATCCAGTAATCAAAATTATTGTTAAATCAATTGATGTCATGAAAATTATCAACTAGTCAAAATTAATATTTATAGTTATTTCAACTATCCAGGAATAGAAACATTGCCATTATGACTTTTCATTATTATTTTGGATTAATTCAAGTTTGTTCAGCTTAATCAGTTAGTGTCATGACTCATGAAAATAATCAATTAACTAAAATTAGGGTTTCCAATTGTTACTATTTTTAGTTATTCCACCTATCCAAGTAATTGTAATACAGCAGTTATATATGTTTGTTGTTAGTCATAAAGCTACTAATTGGGCTATCTGTACTCTGTCCATAGTGGGTTTCAAAACCCAAGTTTTAGGATTATAAGCTGTTTTTTTAAATTCATCTTTGAGAATAAATGATTTGTTGAATGTAATCAAGTAATGGGCCCAATGAGTAATCGCTTAACCAGTTCCACTAATCACCCTGCTTTAGCCTTCACTTTTCCTTTTGGTGGGGATAAACATCTGTTTGCGTAACACTAATGTTAAAGACAGACTCTGATATGCCAGTGAGTTATCCCAGTATTGAGGGTGTAATTTGCTAGATGCTGTAAAATACAGATTGGGCACAATTATGTAACTACCCGAAATATTGACCAATTTGGATATGTATTTTTACAACTATGAATGCACATTTCTGGCAAGTTTTGTTGCTCTTAGAATGTACCTTCACCATATGCCTTGGTACTGGTTATCCAGATAAAATATTTCATAAGTGTAATCTTTGCCTTGGCAACAAAACCAATCAGTTGCATGTTGGCAACTAGTTTCCTCTGCTGCTATCAATCTATGTGCCATTGTTTTTTTGCCTGTGAATTTACAAAATATGAGAATTAAATTTAAAAAGTAATACCTGAACTTGTATTTTTGGAAGTAATAATATTGGACAGTATGTTAAATGGGTAAATAATTATGTTCTACCCTATAATTTATCCAGAATTAACATAAATTAACAGTTCTTTCTGAAGCTTAGATAATGTTTTACTTGTACCATTTTTAGGGATGTATGTAATCATTATTTCAATCTCTCACAGTGCTCCCTCAACTTCCACAGAGAGATCAACTGGATTTTCAGCAAGAAGAGATCATTTTACGAGTGCTGGTTCAAATAATGTGGTGTCATCTGAAGGCATTCAGAATTCCTTATATCTTAAACAAACTGTAAAATGTATACCTGAAAAACCAGGCTCTTCCCATCAGACATTGTTTGGTAGAAAGGAAGCTTGCATGCCCTATCACTACTCATTTTCAAGTTCTTCTCCTTCTCATCAAAACACTGTTTCTACCAGTTGTATTTGCACTTCACAATACACAAGCTCTTTTAAGAATCAATCCCAGAACTTGGTGAACCAAGTAAAACCAACACCTTACCAGAAGCACAGATCTCCAAAATCTCAGTCTTCAGTTCTAGTTTCCACCCAATGGGAAGGTTGCTATATTTCAGCTAAAATAAATGCACCTATTTCAGCTACAGCATTGTCAAACAGTTTGATTCAGGCAGGTCTGATGCCAAACCCAATCTATGCAGCCTCTCAGCTACATTCCACTCCTATGGTAGAAACTCAGAGTCCAACTGTAGTCCATTCATGCCAACAAACAGTTTCCAGTGTTATTGAGGTTTCAACTACATCACTGTGTAAGGTTAGGAGCATGTTGAATGTGGAGCCATATTCTCAAGTAACACCTGTTTACTCTAAGGTGTCTAGTGTTTCAGAGACTCAGACTGTTGATTGCACATCCTTTTCATCAGTACCATCAGTAAAAAAAGCACATTTGAATTCTTTAGCTTGGCAACCTCCCTCTTCAAGTATGTTACCCGTCATGCAGTCACTCAACGTTTTTAAGCATAGTCTGCTTGAAAATAAACCATCCCCATCATTTTCCACCCCTGGACAAGCAAAAACGTTTAAATTGAAGAACAGCACTGTAATTGATTCAGACAACAGGATAACTAGAGATGGCAGTTATACAAAGCAACAAAAGAGTAATGATGATATGAGTTTAGTATCTTTCCTTCAGCCTCTGATAAATTCCACTTCAGCCAGAGTGATATCGACAGTTAGCATAGTTACTACACAGCATAGTTCCAGTTTCATGGATTCATTTTGTTCTTTTGTCAACTCGTCTCAAAAATCCTTAGAAGAGTCCTCTTACACTTATTCTAAAGGAAGACATAAAATCAAACCTACAGTAGCAAGTTCAAAAAATCTTTGTGACAGGTATTCATCTACCAGTAGTAGTACCACAGGACCAGGACAGGCTTTAGACTCTGATACAGAAACCAGAGTAACACCTAGTCCAGCACTAAGTACTTGCACCAACTATAGTACCAGTAGTGGAGGAAGCATAAGCACAAATTATACCAATCTGGAGAAAGCTTGGCTGCAAAGGCGTACTGAAGATGAAGATGTTAAATGTGTTGGAACTACTAAACTTGTTGAAAATCCTGAGGTTAAGCTGAAGACCTTGAAGTTGAATAGTCCAGTAGTTTCTGTTAATTATTCTGTGCATTCTGTAATGAACATAAAGACCTCTGAAGATGAGCCTTCTATTAAAGAAACCATACTTATAAAAACTTCTACTAATAATTTTAAAATAAATGACAACCCTGCTGTTTGTGAAGAGAATCTTACAAACTTTGCCTCAGAAACTGAGCATAAAAACAAAATTCATATTTCGCGCAAAAGACGCTTATATCAGGAAGAAAAGGAAAGCAGGCAGAAGAAAGTGAAGCAGAAGGGAGGTAGTGTTCAAGAAAATGCAGAAGATGGAGACACCAACAAAAAAACTTTTAAAGAGACAGGGAAACAGGGAAAAAGGGGAAGGCAACCTAAAGAACAAGAAAGTGGGTCTGATTGTCAGAAAAAGAAAATTTGTAAGTTAATATAAGAGTATCTCTAAAATTAGTTACATTATAGATGAAAACGTCTAGAAAAAAAAAAAAACCAAGACTGGTAGAAGTTCAAAACCCCAATCTGCATAGACGAAATGTGCATTTCTTCAGAAAGTTATGTACAACTGTTAATCATATTCAGTAACATTAATTTGATTAACTTGGCTGTTTTGCAACTTTTTATAAACGTTTTATAATATTATTAATAAAATTATTCCATAAAAACAAAATTCCAACAGTACTTGATATAATAATTCTAATACTAGAGGATAAACTTGTGCCTCTTGTATGATGTTTGTAGTAAAATTATTTTACTAGTGAAACATTGTTTAGAAAAAATGTACATAGATGGGATTGAATCCTTGACCTCCTGCATATGAAGCATGTTCTGTGCCATATGAGCCAAAGCCCAAAGATTTTTTTCACATATGCAGCATTATTAAGTGAAATACTATATATATGAGAAAGGTACATGTTTTAATTAGATAAAATCCTTTAAATAATGATGTTGTTGGACATAAATGAAACAAAAGTCTAGTAAGCAGAATATGGAGTTGTATTTAGATTTAAAGTAAAAAAGTGTAAAAATGTGGAATGCCTATAAATGAAAAACAACTCTGTACACAGCATTTTTTGTACAAACACCTTGTCTTTGTGGATAATCACCATCCTTGACTAAGATCGTGAGATTCCTTCTTGACTGAATTTTTTATAAAGTGATGTTATTAAATAGGGAATTTTTAAAATTATGCATTAAAATGATTGCATTATTTATAAGACATGGAAAGGTAAAGAATTAACTTATTGGGTTTCTTTGCAGGTTTGTGTAGTAATTCTCTTTAAAGTTAATGTTATAAATGTCATTCACTTTTGCACCTATGTAAGTGTAAAAGTACCACTGTACAATTAGCCAATAGAAATATTGAGTTCTGATACGATATTTTACCTCCTCTCACAAATAGCTTTTATTGATTTATACTGTGCTCTATATGTGCAAATTTGTACTTGCCATAGCCTTGATTCTCTCATCTACCCTCATGTGTATTCATGTGGGTTCTCCCAGTGTAGGTGGCATTGACACTCACCCTACTGCAGACCCGATGTATAATTCCAGATGCTGTCAGGTGTTGGGCGATGCATTTCACTAGCATGCAGTTCACCCCTCTGGCTGAGGCACTCTCCTTCCTACCATCCCCTGGATGTCAGTTTCTGGCAGATATGGTGATGGTTAGAGTTGGACCAGCCACATAAATCCTCACATGTGTTTGGCCAGGCACCCTCCTCCTACTGTAGACTGGAAAATACATTCCCAATGCCAATTTGCTGTCCACCTTCCTACCATCCCCTGGATGTTGGTTCCTGGCAAATATGGTGCGGGTGTGTTGGATGTGCACACATGATTATGCGAAGGAGTCCCTCCTGTGATTCTGCCCTTATTGAGACACATTTTCATGTTGGCAAAGAGTATATCTGGCTCAGAAGTGGTGAAGTCTCCCATAAGGATGTTGTCTTTTGTTTATTCACACACCACATGGTCTTCCTTTGGGCACTTTCTTCTCACTAGATTCTCCACCAACTCAGTATGAGACTAGAAATTTGTGAGAGAGGTAAGATATTGTATCAGAAGTTAACATTTTTCGACACTGAAAATGTATTTCAAGTAGACACCTCAGCTCTCATTTCCCACCTGATCTCCACACTTCCAGTGTAGGTTTGGTATGTACTGCTAAATCTTGAAGTGATTACAGGCTGCACCGAAGAGAAGGTGCATGATGGAAGTTGTGTTGCACTCCTATTGGTGGAGTGTTGCTGCATGATAGCATGTAGATGTGTCATGTGTTTGTCTGATTTAAATGAAACTGAAATTATCTCTTCAAATTTCTTTTATGGGATACCACCCTTTTTTCATGTTATACCACCATTTAAGGGTCTGTATATTGATTAAATAGGATTTACTTTCCAAATCTAACATTTCAATTTTAACAAACACTTTAAAGTTTTAATCTTATTGTAATAACATTTATCATTTTTGTTTAATAAATTGTTAATAGAGTGTATTATTATTTTTCAATACTTATGATTTACTAAAACATTTTAATTAGCACTTTCATGTGATAATTTATCAAGCATCAATTAAAGTCCCAACATTTTGTCATCATTTTCCAGATTTTATTGTTAATTTGTGAGATTATTATTTTTATTTAAACTCTCGGTGATTTCATATTAGGAAAGTTGTTTGGTGAAAAGAATAAAAATGAATGTTAAATGAAAATTTTAAGTTGGAATTTAAATCTACAAATTCATATTCTTGGTCAATTTACAGGCAACTCATTTGAAAATGCACTGGTTGTTCAGTTGAAAAGAATAGGGGAGCCATTTCTACAGAATGGGCCATGCTGTGAAGTAGCTCCAAAGTTGCCAAAGTGTAGAGAGTGTCGAATGACTCCTCATCAAAGAAGTAAAAAAATGAAAAATATATTTTGCAGATTCTATGCTTTCAGAAAGTGAGTGTTGAAAACATATTATTTTGTTTCATTGTTATATTTTCTCTATCAGTGGCTCTCTCAACAGGCGTCTCAGCATTTTAATTTCTGTTCTTATCAACAAGCCTTCTTTCATATACAGGGTCCATGTCTCAGCTTTGTAGAGGAGCACCAGTCTAATTACAATCTTATTCACTTTGGCTTTCAGTTCTCTTGGTAACTGTTTGTCACAGATGAGTGTGGCTACTTCCTTCCATTTCTTCCAAGCTGTCTCACTTCCTCATTCACTTTGGATTGTGCTCCCCAAGTACTTAGTCTTCCACCTGTTCCAGGAGCTACCAATTTACTTCTGTGATCTTAATCTTCTTCCTACCTCTTCCACTCACCAAGACTTCCATTTTTTCTGGCATTCATTTTCAAGCTTCTTCTTTTGAAACTCTTCTGTCACACTTTAACTTGCATTTGTAACTCCTGCTCACTTTCAGTAAATGATAGTTCCCACAGGGGGCTAATGGCCAACCCTAGGTGCAGTATCTTTACTTCAAACTTGTCCTTTTCTCCATGTACCTTCATAAGTAGCTCTCACTAGTCTGATCAGCTTTTTTGGGCACTCCTTTCTTTCTTTTGAAAGTATCTTTCTTGTGGCACCCTGTTATAAACTTTCTCCTAATGTACATGGTATAATTTTTTGTTTCTATCAAGTTACTTCTTCTGCAAATGTTGCAAAATTAAGATTGCACGTATTATTCCTCACCCAGGCTGAAACCCAAACTGTATTTTGTTAATATCTATGACTTCCTTTATTCTCTTGAGTGGGTATAGAGTTAGGGTAGAAAAAAATAACAGATAAACTATAAAGTTTTACTGAAAAAAAATAAACAATCTGATTTCTTTTGTACGAAAGACTTGTAATGTTTCCTGAAAACTTGTCAGATTTTGTGAAGATATACAAAATATATTACAAGTTTTGTATGGAAACTCTGATAGTCACTTTAGGGTTATGAACTCTGTCAAATCGACTGAGCTCATAGCAAGAAAGTTTAAAAGTCATGTTTTAAAAAGCAAGTTTTTCTCCATTTAGCTTAAATTTCTATTTGATTGTTTTATATATTTAATGTGTCAACAATTTTGTATCCTAATTTTGTTACAGTTTTATAAGTTGTAATCCTTACCTTTGTATGCAAAATTTACTATTAGGCTGAAATGTGGAAAAAATGGGGCAATCCTGAGTGCTGGCTTCTCTCAACTGGCAGATGCATCTAAGGAAGATCTTCGGTTGTGGATTCCTTCTGCGGATTCTCCTCCTAATTATTTGGATTTGGAGACTGCCAAATTTTTATTGACTCATGTGGGTGACCAGTTCTGTGACTTAGTGGACCAGGAACAGGAAGCAAAGGGTCTCCACATGTCTAACAGTAATTTCATTTAATAAAACACTTTCAGTAAATCATCTTATTTATATGGATTAATCTCATGTTTGAATATGGGACTGAATATTACCAAACTTAGCCTGAACTAAAGTGTTAAAAATTCATTTTTTCATCAGGTTCACCAAAATGAACACTGAAGTGTAAAAAAACAATTTGTTTCTTCTCTTCGAGATATAATTTCTTTTAACCCTAGAATGCCAGCGTTAAGTTTTCAGTCATTAACATTAGCATTCTAGAGTTAATTGTTCAATTAACAGTATTAAACAGCTCACTACAGACAGGTCAAAGAGCTCATGTCACAATGTTTTTGAAAGTTGTTTTCAAAACTTCAACAGTTTTATTATCCATGTATCTCAATAAAATTGGAATCAAAATAGTTTATAATTCAAATTTTTATGTATGTCTTAATTTCTTAATTTGAAAAAAATTCTAAACATCCTTTTTTTATGTGTGACATGGCATGTCCTCTTGTCCTATTGGTCAGTTTATATTTTATTATGCGTACCATACATCTGTAGTGGTTAACGAATTAGAAACTCAAATTTCAGACACTGACAAGCGAGAATATAAAATTATAACTTCCCATCTTTTTTTATTTGTTGAGATATCAATATATTTAGCAAATCTATCGGAGTAGCTCCTCCCACTACTTCATTCTTTTGAAATCTCTTGTCTGTTCATACCTACTTCTTCTAAGTATATGTTTTTAACCAATTGGAAGAGTATATTCCAAACTACTTAAATCTGGCAGTCATTTGTAACTAGCTTGAAAGGGAAAGCTAGAGTTTTACTGGAAATGTTGAAGTCTGTTGACTAAATCCTTGCTCTGAACAAAAAGTATTTTTTAACCCAAACATAGCTTAGTTAGAAAGCCAGATATATTACAGTGATCTTGTATGTATCAATATAGTAATTTGATAAGTTTTACTTTTCTATAATGCATCTTTGAAATTTACAAAAATTCATTTGTCTTCTCCTATATTTGAGAGAATAAACGAGGCTTATGGTGAGACTTAGCAAGTATGATGTACAACTACAAATCAATTTTGTAACATTGTAAGTACTAGAAATCATTGTTTTTCTGTATATTTTTTACTTGTTATTCTAAGTTTTAAGAAAAATAACTAAAAATTAAGTATTTATGAGTAAATATAATAATAATATTTATATGTATGTTCGTACATATTTACACACTTTGTGCACCTATACTAAATTCCAACAACCATGGGAAGATAACTAACATCCAAATACCTACCAAATGTATTGGATTGGTCTGGACTTTGTAAAGAGCCATATAATTAATATTTTTTGGTACTTTTATTACTTTAGAGAATTCTTATTACAAGAAGCCAAAAAAATCCTCTCCCACTGTATTCTCGGAATATGGATTACAATAAACTTTTGGGAAATCACTGGCTTATTGCACTGAACATACATGTTTGTTATCGACAATGTCACGTTAACAGTGTAATGGCAGGAGCGATGATTTGTTGCTTTATGTTTGGCAGGTTTCTACTTCAGCCACTAACAGTAAAATATACATAGAAAATAGATGTGAAAAGGTTTGAAGTAGAAACTTTCAGGAGGAGTACTTTAGGACTTCTTGGTCAATACTGAAAGAGATAGAACAGTACTACCCATTTTGTTTCACATTTAAATTTTTTTTTATGGTGGTTATGAATTTGTTCAAATTGACTGAATAAGTATAGAATTAGGTAAGAGAAAGTAACAGATAAAATATAAAGTTTGAGAGAGAAAAAAACATTTGATATTTATTGAGGGTATTTTAGAGATTAAGCAAATTAAATATGGTAATTTTCAGATGAAGAAAAGTATTTTTAATCTTAAATTGAAAATAATTTTGCTCTTGGAAAATCAACATTCTGACTCTCTGTATTCACGGACATATTCTTAGTAAAAAATTCAGATTGTTTTTCTACAAAAGACTTGTAATAGTGACTAAAAGCTTGAAAAATGTCATGAAGATATACAAAACATGTTAAAAGTTATTGTATGGAAACTAATGGCAATGGTCACTCTTGGTGTCACATGGTTGATGTAATTCACCAAGGCAGTGATGAAAGGGTTAAAGACAATGTAATTTTATTTGTTAGTGTTCTTTTATAACCTATGCTGAGTACCAAACTGATATTACAAATCAAAATTGTCATACTGTGTCAATACGTTTTGACCCATTCATGATGGTAGAAGTATTCACTTTTGGTAAAAATGTTTGGTTTTGTTAAACCAAAAGCTGCTTCAAAATTGTTTTGTGACAAAATTAAAAAACATAACACCTATATTGTAAGAAGCAAAGATTTATATTAAAGTAATAAATAGTTCTATTAAGTTTAGAAAGTACAACATTCTTGTACATTCTTCCCATTTTAGTTACTTTTAAAATAATTTCTCAGCTAATCTACATAATAACTTACACAGATGTGTGTCAGATGCCAGAAAAAAGTTGCACATGAGACGTCTCTCAACAGGATACATTGTTTTACAAATAGCTTATCACAAGAATAGTGAATTACTTTTTCTGGATCTTTCATATGTGAAAGAGAACAAATTCAGTTCTATGATATTCAAGCTTTAAAATATAAAGTAGGTACTGTGCTCAGCGTGAACCATGATATTAAATTAAAGCTATAACATGCACAAGGTGTAGCTATGATTGTTATTGCAAAACACACCTGATATATTGCTTGAGGGTTGACCATTTGTTGTAATGGGCAATTATCATTCTTTATTATATATAGCAAAATTTTCACTTTTAGATACAAACTTCCTATACCATTATATATTATACACTTTCAAGAAAATCAGATATACAGTATTTGAACACTGATGCTTTTGTTGTTGCAATTAATGATATTGACAAGTTATGTAATGTTTAAAGGACAACAAGGGACCTATTGGGTTCATCTAAAAACATCCAGAAAAAACGACTCAAAGGAAGCCCTTAACATTCAATTATTTACCAGGCCTTCCCTTAAACTCTTAAATATACCGCTTCCACCACACCTGAGGGCAAACCTGTTCTAATGGCCAACCACCCTATTAGAAAAGTAAGATTGTCTTAACTAAAAATGACCCCTATCTTATCGAAATTTATATTTGTGTTCCCTAAGCTTATCATTATTACCATTAAGCATGAAAAAAATGATGATTCAACACTATCTTTTGCCATAACTAACATACTAGATATCATCCTAACAGCTGTCCTCTGAACTCTTTCAAACAATTCACTGTCCTTCCTAAGATAAACAGCTCGTGACTGAACACAGTACTTCATATGAGGCCTAACCAGTGACATATACATTGAAATTATAACCTCTCTACATTTGTATTCAATATTTCTGTAGCTATAAACTAAAATGCTATATGCTCTATATCTAGCAACAACACATTGTCTGGATAGATTAAGAGAATGATCAACCAGAACACCAAAATCCTTTTTTCCATAATGCTGGTATGGTTATTCTCATCAAAATTATTCTTATAATTGAAATTGTGATAACCCACATGCATAACCTTGCATTTTTTATAATTAAAAACCATCTGCCAGATATTTGCCCAATTTTCCAAATGATCTAAATCCTTTGGTAAACCACTAGCAGTAACCTTGCAGCCAGAAATACCCAAGATTTTAATATCATCTGTAAATTTAAGTAATTTATTGCCAATTCCTTCATCTATATCATTGATGTAGAACAAAGGTCAACACTGAATCCTGAAGTACCCCACTTGTTACATTAATCCAGTGTGACTGAACTTTATTATTTATAACAATCCTCTGCTTTCTTCCATCCATTCACTTTTCTCTCTAATGAGCTAAATTATCTTCCACACCTATAGAGATAGTTTGTTTTAAAAATTATTCTATGTGGCACCTTGTAAAATGCTTTCTGAAAATTTAAATACACCATATCCACACCCTTACCCTTTTCTACAAAAGCAGTAACCTCTTCAAAGAATGTCAGAAGATCGGTAAGACAAGATTTTTCCGTCAGTGACAACATTTTGACTGTCCAACAGAATTTGTTCAAGGACTTTGCAAAGTATCTTTCATGAGGTTTTCAAAAACTTTTCCCACCACTGATGTAATACTAGTAGATATATAGTTTCTGGGATAATTTTTATCACCTCTCTTGAGAAAAAAGGTAACATTAGCAAACTTCCAGTTTTCTGGGTCCTGCCCACTAATTCAAGGACATACAAAAATAATAGTAGGTGACTCGTATATCTATTTCTTAATTTTCTTAAAAACTCTTGGAAGCATATTGTCTGATCCAAGAGCCTTATCATTCTTTAAGTTTCCTGGTTTCTTCTTTACAAGCTCAATTATTGTGTTAATCTTGTTCAGTCATGTTTCCATCTCACAGTTGTTCAGAACAAAGAATATTGCTTAAATCTTCATTAGTAAAAAATGAAGAAAAAGGTAAAATTTAATAATCCAACCATCTCATAGTCATAAGATATGAGCCTGCCTTTACTATTCCTCAAAAGCCTTACTTCCATCTTAACATTTTGCTTACCCTTATGTATTAAAATATATCTTTACTGTTAATTTTTACATTTTCAACTAACATTTTTTCATATAATAATTTTTGAATTATTATTTGGCCAGCTCTTTTTATTTTCTATAATCCTGTAAGTCTTTCATCACAGCAGTCAATTTAAACTCCTTAAATTTATTAAACTTTTCTTTAATGTTATCCCTTATACCCTCTGTAAGTCAACCTGGATTTTTACTTACAGCCACTATTTTTTTCTATAATGAGCATGTCTATCTTTAATATTTAAAAAATGTTCCCGACATTTGATCAATGTCTCCATTCATTCAGTTACCCAATTCACAACAAATAATTCTTGTTGCATCCCGTCAAAATTTGCTTTTTTGAAATGTATAACCAAAATCTTATTATTCCAGATCCGTATATGCATTAAAACATAAAACCTAATAGAGGATTGATCATTTGCACCCAGATGTTCTTGTCCTTATATATTAACCTAACTAAGCCTAGCATTCAGCTCTAGTGACCAACCTACAATTTCATCCCCCACAATGAAGTCTCAGCAGTATCCCTGACACAATTATGCCCATTTTCTTTAAATGCCATTATAAGTATTCTGTAGTTATCATTTAGATCATCTGATCTACCTTTCCTTACATTAGTATTCCCTGTGTGCACAATAGTGAATGCATCACTACTAGCACCCTTTACTATATCACTTGTTATGTCAGTTATTTTCTCCATCCCTGCCTCTGTATAGCATAATCTCATTCTTTTCTCCCTGTTTAACCCATGGACTATTCAATCCAGGAGCCATGATAAAGAACCACCCATAACTATAATCTTCTTTAAATTTAAGAATTCCAGAAAACAGCTAAAATGGGACAGAAAAAATATATCACATAAAAACACTTCACTATTGTGGCACTATTTTCCCTATCCCATGTTAGCTGTTTTTTGAATTTTTAAAATTTAGTAGAGTGTGAGAAACCTCCAACATTTATATTTATAACCTTGCATTTTTCATTCCCGTCCCTCTCTGTTCCTTTTCTTTTTCTTCTGTCCCATAGTTCCTCATCTGTTCAAGCTAAATACTGAAATCTGTTCCTTAATAGAACCTGATTATTACAATTAGATCCACTACTTCTAGCCCTGATAATAGCATTTCTAATTTCCTAAAAGTCATTATTAGCTACATTTAATATTGAAGTTGAGTCCTGCATGTAGGTTCCTGTAATTTAAAATATTGTTAATTTCTATTTTATTCACTTAAAAGCAAAATAAAAAGCAAGAGTATGAAAAGTAACAGAGAAATAAAATGTATTTTGAAAACAAATATGTAAAAAGGGAAAGTTTTCTTCAAATACTTTAAAAATTAGGTATTGTAACATACTTGTAGATAAGCATTCAGAATTCTTTGCCACTAATGAATAATAATTTATTGTGAATTTTACTTTTATGGAGACTTAAAAGTACTTGCACTTTCATTTTTTACTGCCATATTGTAACACATTTTTCAAAATAAAAGTGTTAAAAATACTTGCGCTATTTATTATTTTAGTTGATAATGAAAATGTAAATAACACTGGGTATGATTTCTGAACTGTCATGGCTTTATATCTATAATTCATTCCACTACTTCAAGAGTTTGACTAATTAATTTATTTTTTATGTGGTCTGAGTAAAAAAAAAAAGAGGGCTTTAATGTGTTCTTTCAAATAATTAATCAACAAAGACAGTTATTCTTGATACTTCTTTATTCTGTATTTCCCCCTTTTTAATACTGTTTCTGGCCATTATAAAAGTATAGATTTACACCCTGTCTTTAGATTTTGCTCTTCTCAATCACTATCAACTAAATCATACTATACCATATTCTCATCTCTACTCCTATATTGTTTTTGCACTCAGAAGAATGACTTCATAATACATTTGACCAACATGAAAACTACTTTGTATCTAGTTGCTGGACTAGTTATTGGATATACCTAAAACCTTTTGATTGCTTATAGATGTGCACTTTCCTTCATAGGAAGAATTCCTACAAAAAAAGTCCTATCAGCCTTCAATTTCGTTTCAAGTTTCTGTGTTTTACTTACAAATTATACTTATCAGCTTATCAGAGACAAACAATTGCAACTTTGTTGTTGCCTTTAATTATAACATTTGGCTGTCTGACACTTCAGTCAGATCCAGTATATTTGGCTTCTGATAACAGTGATTCCTTACTATACTGTTGACCTTCACATTGCCATTACATGATAAATGAATTTTTCATATGCGGTCATAAAGGTAATGTCACCATAACGTAAACATTTTGTTGCATGTGTCAGTCAGTTGTTGTCCTCTGCAGTCTGAATCTTGTAAACATGCTTTTTGCAAATTTGGCAATAGTGAGTAACCATTTCTGTAAACATCATTGCCACATTCTAATTGTCAGCGTACAACATAACAATATAACCAGAATTATCCTCAACACACTTTTTATGGATGAAATTAGATTAAGAAGTTTCACTTATTAAAACTTCTTAGATCTTTGCTATTTGTCACTTCTTTCCTATTTTTTGTAAATACCTGTTTGTTTTAAGATTTTGATAGAAGTATTGTTTTCTTGTATTTTATATGTGGCAAATGTTTTATCATACTTTTATCTTGATAAATAAAGCAAAAAAGTTTTACATAATTTATTTCCAAATCCCATTTACAGTTTATATAGACATATTTCTTTTAATGTTATTCTCAACATATATCTTAGTAATTTGTATTTTAACAAAAAATTAGTTACTTCATTTCATATTTGAAACATGTTTTTATTATAATTATTAAATGTGTATGATGCTTTATATATTTTCTTCTGTTTGATGCATGAACCATTAATTTACATTTAAGATTTATTTGTTAATATATTAGCCAGACCTTCACTGTTTTTATAATGTACCATTTACCTCTACTTCACTGCTTATATTATCACTAGTGGTATTGGTATTGAAACAAATGCTACAGTTCTAAGTTTTCTCTCAGTTCTGTGAGTGCCTATAATTACCATTTTTTAAAGAAGTTTGTTTTTTGAAACACTGGTTTAAAAATTTTTTAACTACTACATTTTCTAGAACCTTTAAAAGTCTTTACTTCCAGAAAATTCAATGAGAAGAAATATTATATTCAAAATATTAAAACAATATTACCAGGTTTTTATACTTTGTACATATGCTGCATGTATGACATATTTTATAGGTTGAGGCATCTACAAGTATAATTTTGAATAGGGTTAGTGTTTTTGTAAAATATAAATGATTTAATTACTCCCATTGCAGATAAGGCAATAATGTGGAAACGTGTAGTGCAGGGAGTGCGAGAAATGTGTGATGTATGTGAAACAACTTTGTTCAACATTCACTGGGTATGTCGTAAATGTGGTTTTGCTGTCTGTATAGACTGTTACAAGGCTAGAAAGAATGGAACAGTAAAAGGTTAGTAAATATTAATCATATTATTTTTAAATAGCAAACTTATTTTATTCTGGAACCCATCAACAAAACAGCAGAAATGTTCGATATCAAGGTATATAGTTCTATATATATTTAAAGAGTGACGAGTTTAATATATCTTTTTTCAATTAAAATGACACACAAAGTGCAAGTATTGATGAACTTTTAAATTAAATTGCTTGATTGATTTTCTACTAACAATTTATATTATATGGTACTTGTGTTTTTTATTTTACAGTTTTAATTACATTTTCTCATCTCAATAAAAGATATTTCCCAAAAGAATATAAGTCTACCATAGTATCTAGTTCTTTCATTTTATCTTCTCTTGTGATATGACTTGTTCTTGATATAGGCTTGTTTCTACTAAATCACCTTACCATAGTGTTTATGTTTCTCATTTTACCTTCTCTTCTGATATTCTTTGATCTTGATAAAAGCTAGTCTCTACTAAAACACAGATTGCTGTCGTGGTTATTTTTTCAATTTTGTCTTCTACTCTGATATTGTTTGATCTTGTTAGAGGCTTGTTTCTACTGAAGCACAGGTAATTAATTTAGACAGTTTTCATTTTAACTGCTCTTCTGATATTTTTTAATTTTCATAGAAACTTTTTTGTAATAAAATACACACCATTCTAGTTTGTTTTTTTAGCTGTGGTATAGCAGCTTATAGAATGGCTCCAAGTTTTTTTTCAAGTACAAACTTTTAGCTCGTAGCTCCATCATCTTTTGATCAATTTGAGATCTAATTACAGTTTTGGACCAAGGAGGTCAAATCCTTTTGATTGATGTATTTGACCACATTATTTTACTCTAATACTGCCTAAAAGAATTTTAATTTGAAGGTAGGCTGGTAGAGATACTGATGAGTAATAAAATTTAATTGGGTATACACACACCCTATGGTTGGTATTACTGGTGCACAAAAATATAGCTAATAAAAAGGAAAAACAGGTTTCTAATCTTGCTTAAATAATTACAAGTGCAATGTCTATTGAGGATTCCTTCTTTTTTTTTTTCATTTTACCTGCATCTTTGGTACTTTCTGACCTTGATTAGAGCTTGTTTCTACTAAAACACAGGTTATTGTAGTAGATACTTTTCATTTTATCTGCTTTTTTGATATTGTTTAATCTTGATAGGAGCTTATTTCTATTACAACACAGGTTGTTATATTAGGTATTTTTCATTTTACCTTATCTTCCAGTGTTGTTTGACCTCCATAGAGGCTTGTTTCTACTTAAGTAGAGGTTTCTATAGTGGTAATGCCTTTTCACTTTACCAGCTTTTCTGATTTTGTTTGATCTTGAAAGAGGCTTTTTTCTACTAAAATGCAAGTTATCATAGTAGTAATTGATTTATTTTACTTCATTTTTGATATTCTTTGATTTTAATAGAAGCTAGTTTTTACTACAACACAGGTTATCATTGTATTTTTTTTTTGTCTGCTCTTCTGATATTGTTTGATCTTTATAGAAGCTTGTTTCTTTCTACTGAAACACAAGCTATCATATTTATTTTTGATTTTACCTGTTTCTCTGATACTACTTCATCTTGTTAGAGGCTTTTTTGTTATGAAACTCAGGTTATTGTGGTAGCTATTTTTGTTAATTAACCTACTCTTTTGACATTGATCTTAATAGAGTCTTATTTATACTATCACTTTATCATAGTTATTATAACTAGCAGAAATATCCGCCATTCGGTCAGGTATAACTGCTAGTTCCTGCAGAAGATTCTTCAGCCTGCAGCCTTTTCTGGAATGGTCTGACAGTTGTACAACAATGAACTCATACTTGACATTCAATATGTTCACCATCCAAAAAAAAAAGAAGATTTTATTGAAATTTTAGTTTAAAAAATGAGCTATCATCACAGCATTACATCACAGAGTAGATTTTATTGAAGTATTTCTTTGTAGACACAGTTATCAATGAAAGTGCTTTGCTTTTCTGTTGCAATGCTCATGAGATTTTCACTAAATAAAAACAAATAATTTTTTAAGTGAATTTTTTGATTGTTTTATATTTGAAGCTTACTTCTTTTTATGTAATTGTTGTTGGTTAAATCTGAAACTTACTCCCGTTTTGTTTGTAATTATTATTGGTTAAATCTGAAACATAATTTTTGTAGAAATTCCAATTGTTTTATTTATTGCTTAGCTATAAAAATACTGCCTAATTATAAAAATATTACCAAGTTATGATTGGTGATGATCTGTGCGGTAGTTTCCAAGATCCGAGTTTTGGACATATACATTGCAAACTCCATTATAATAAGATTTGAATTTACCTACTATTTTTTTTATCTTGATTCTTCATGCTTGTTTCTACGAAAACACATGTTAACTTGGAGGTTATTTTATCATTTTACCTGCTTTTCTGATAGCAATCCATCTTTATATGCTTGTTTCTACTAATACACAGGTTATTATATTTGATGTTTTTCCTTTTACCTGCTCTTCTGATATTTTTTTTATCTTGGCTTAAACTTTCTTCAAGTATAATACATGCCCTTTTCATATATTTTGATCATGATAAAAGATTTTCTCTACTAAAATACAATTCATTTTAGTGTTTGTTTTTTTTTCATTTTACCTACTCTTCTGATATTTTTAATCTTGACAGAAAGTTGTTTCTACTACAATAATACAGGTCATTTTCATGATTATTTTTATGATTATATCTTCTCTTCTGATATTGTTTTTTTCTTGATAGAGGCTTTTTTGTTCCTTCTGAAACACAGTTTATCATATTAGTTATTTTTCATTTTGCCTGCCCCACTACCATTTTGCATTGATATAGATTTGTTTCTACTAAAACATTGTGTATTATATAAGTTACTTTTCATTTTATCTGGTCTTCTTATATTGTTTGAGCTTGGTATAGGCTTCTTTGTATTAAAACACCTGTTAATATATCATATATTTTTCAATTTCCCTGCTCTTCAGATTTTGTTTGGTCTTGTTATACACTTATTGCTACTAAAACAAAAGTTACCATAGTGGGTATTTTTTTCATTTTACCTTCTCTTCTGATATTGTTTAATCTAAATAGATGCTTGTTTTTACCAAAACATTGGTTATTAAATTAGGTATTTTTGATATTAATAGCTTTTCTGATTTTTTTTATCTCCATAGAAACTTGCTTGTACTGAAATACAGGTCACTTCAGTGGTTTTTTGTTCATTTTATCTCCTTTGGTATTTTTTAATCTTGATAGAAGCTGGTTTCTAATAAAATACAGGTCATAATAGTGATTGTACGTTTTTCATTTTACCTTCTTTTATCATTTCATTTAATCTTATTGCATGCATGTTTCTACTAAAACACAGGTTATTATAATAGATATTTTACACTTTACCTTCTCTCCTGATATTGTTTGATTTTTGTAGAAACATGTTTCTATTATAATACAGGTCATTGTAGGTTGTTTTTTTTGTTTTACATGCTCTTCTGACATTTCTTATCTTGACAAAAGTTTGTTTCTACAAAATACAGGTCATAATAGTGATTATTTTTTAATTTTGTCTGGTGTTATGATATTGTTTCATCTTGGTAGTGCCTTGTTTTTTTTTGTTTGAACAGAAATTATCATTTAGTTATTTTTTTCTTTTACCTGTGCTTCTCAGTGTTTTACCAATAATCAGTTCGGCATTTGGAATCAAGCCATTTATTGCATAATCGGGCAAAAATCAGAATCATTAGAATTTGTTGAATTTTTCGATCACAGAAAAGTTATTACCGTGAAATTAAAAATAACACCACCCAGACCACTTTATTCACAACATTCTTCTGATTTGTAAGTATGCTTACAATCACAATCTTGTACATTTTCCTCTTTTTTTTTCGACACAAAACCCGAAACATTATTCACTATACAACAAAATATCATCAGTTAAAACAGTCTCTGTCTGTTTCTCATTTACTTACATAAATTGAAGCCTATTTACACTAAAAGGCTGGTTACTGTGGTATTTCTTTTCATTTTACTTTCTTTTTAGATATTGTTTGATCTTGAGAAAATCATTTTTCTACTGCAACACAGTTTATCATCTTTGTCATTTTTCAATTTATCTGCTATTCTGACATTCTTTTTTTCACAGAAGGTTGTTTCTACTGAAATACAAGTCATCGTAGTGATTATTTTATTTATTTTATCTGCTTCTCTGATATTGTTTCATCTTGATAGATGCTTTTTTTTCTACTGAAACCCAAGTTATCATTTTAATAATTTTTACCTTTTGTTCTATTTCTGTTTGATCTTGCCTGCTATCATTATATTGCTTGATCTTTACAGAATCTCTTTTCTAATAAAACACAGGTTGCTGTGGTACTTTTTTCTTTCATCTTACCTGCTCTTTTGATATTGTTTCAGCTTGATAGAGGCTTTTTTCTATTGAAACACAATTTATCATATTAGTTATTTTTGATCTTGATAGAGGTTTATTTATAGTAAAATATAGGTTACCATAGATAGAATTACATCTTGATAAAATCTTGTTTCACCTAATACATAGGCTATTATATGAGATATTTTTCATTTTACCTGCTCCTCTGATAGTGTTTGAACTTTATGAAAGTTTAATTCCTAAATGCAGGTTACCATAAAATTTTATTTTTCATTTTACTTGCTTTTATGATATTATTTGATCTCGATAGAGGAAAAGGTAAACTGAAACACAGTTTCTCCATGTAGGTATTTTATCATTTTTCCCTGCTCTTTTGGTGGTGTTTGATGTTGATAGAGGCTTGTTTCTACTAAATTACAGGTCAGCACAGTGAATGTTTTTTTTTTATCGTATTAACTTCTTTTTTGATATTGTTTGATCTTGACAGAAGCTTGTTTCTAGTGTAACACAAGTCATCATAGTATTTTTTTTTTCATTTTTCCTGCTTCCCTAATATTTTTTATCTTGACCAAAGATTATTTTTACTAAAATATAGGTCATGATAGTGATTTTTTTTTATCTTACCTTCTT